GTCCATTTCATCCAAATTTTCCAATTTTGGTTTTATAGGCTTTTGTAGTAGGATCTGATGATTTTTGTAATTTCTTCTATTTCTGTTGTTATGTCACCCTTTTCAGTTCTGATTTTATTAATTTGAATACTGTCTCTCTGTCCTCTGATTAGTCTAGCTAAGGGTTTATCTATCTTGTTAATTTCCTCAAAGAACCAGCTCCAGGTTTTATTGATTTTTGGATAGTTCTTTTTGTTTCTATTTGGTTGATTTCAGCCCTGAGTTTGATTATTTCCTGCTGTCTACTCCTCTTGGGTGTATTAGCTTCTTTTTGTTCTAGGTCTTTTAGGTGCATTGTCAAGCTGCTAGTGTATGCTCCCTCCAGTTTCTTTTTGTCAGTACTTAGAGTTATGAGTTTTCCTCTTAGCACTGCTTTCATTGTATCCCACAGATTTTGGTATGATGTGTCATCATTTTCATTAAATTCTAAAAAGTTTTTAATTTCTTTCTTTAATTTTTCCCTTACCTGATTATCAAGGAGTAGGGTGTTGTTCAGTTTCCATGTGAATGTGGGCTTTCCATTGTCTTTGTCATTTTTGAAGACCAGCCTTAGACCATGGTGATCTGATAGGATGTAGGGAATTATTTCAATTTTTTTATATTTGTTGAGGCCTGTCTTGTGCCCAATTATATGGTCTATTTTGGAGAAGGTACCATAAGGTGCTGTGAAAAGGTATATTTTTTTGCTGTAGGGTGAAATGTTCTGTAGATATCTGTTAAGTCCATTTGGTTCATAACTTCTGTTAGTTTCACTGTATCTCTGCTTAGTTTCTGTTTCCATTATCTATCCATTGCTGAGAGTGGGGTGTTGAAGTCTCCCACTATTATAGTGTGAGGTGTAATGTGTCTTTTGAGCTTTAGTAAGGTTTCTTTTATGAAAGTCGATGCTCTTGTATTTGGCCTATAGATATTCAGAATTGAGAGTTCATGTTGGTTGACTTTTCCTTTGTCAAGTATGAAATGCCCTTCTTTATCCTTTATGATAGTTTTAAGTTGAAAGTCGATTTTATTCAATATTAGAATGGCTACTCCCGCTTGTTTCTTAGGGCCATTTGCTTGAAAAATTGTTTTCCAAACTTTTACTCTAAGGTAGTGTCTGTCTTTGTCACTGAGGTGGGTTTCCTGTAAGCAGCAAAAAGCTGGGTCCCGTTTGTGTATCTAGTCCGTTAGCCTATGCCTTTTTATTGGGGAATTGAGTCCATTGATGTTAAGAGATATTAAGGAGAGGGTGTTGTTGCTTCCTGTCATTTTTGCTAATAGTGGAGACATCGTTTATGTGGTTATCTTCTTTTGGGTTTGATGGAAAAGGATTATTTTCTTGCTCTTTCTAGGATATTATTGCCCTCCTTGTATTGGAGCTTTCCTGCTGTTACCCTTCGTAGAGCTTGATTTGTGGGAAGACACTGTGTAAATTCGGTTTTGTCATGGAATATGGCAGTTTCTCCATCTATGGTAATTGTGAGTTTTCCTGGGTAAAGTAGCTTGGGCTGGCATTTATGTTCTCTTAGGGTCTGTATGATATTTGCCCAGGATCTTCTGGCTTTTATAGTATCTGGTGAGAAGTCAGGTGTAATTCTGATAGGTTTGCCTTTATATGTTACTTGGCCTTTTTCCCTTACTGCTTTTAAAATTCTTTCTTTGTTTAGTGCATTTTGTGTCTTGATTATTATGTGACAGGAGGTATTTCCTTTTTGATCTTGTCTGTTTGGCGTTCTGTAGGCTTCTTGTGTGATTATGGGCATCTCATTCCTTAGGGTAGGGAAATTTTCCTCAATAATTTTGTTGAAGATATTTACTGGCCATTTAAATTGGGAATCTTCACTCTCATCTATACCTATTATCATTAGGTTTGGTCTTCTCATTGTGTCCTGGATTTCCTGGATGTTTTGTGTTAAGAACTTTTTGCATTTTGCATTTTCTTTGACAGTTGTATCAATATTTTCTAAGGTATCTTCTGCACCTGAGATTCTTTCTTCAATCTCTTGTATTCTGTTGGTGATGCTTGTGTCTATGACTCCTGATTTCTTTCTTAGGTTTTCTATCTTTAGAGTAATCTCCCTTTGTGATTTCTTTATTGTGTCTACTTCCATTTTTATGTCCTGGATGGTTTTGTTCAATTCTTTCATCTGTTTGTTTGTGTTTTCTTTTAATTCTTTAAAGGATTTTTGTGTTTCTTTAAGGACTTCATCCTGTTTTCCTGTGTTCTCCTCAAGTTTTTTGATAGTGTTATTTATTTCCTTCTTATAGTCCTCTATCATCATCATTAGAAGTGATTTTAGATCTGGTTCTTGTTTTCCTGGTGATATGGGGAGTTCAGGACTTTCTACTATGGAAGAACTAGTTTCTGATGATGGCAAGTACCTTGGGTTGCTGGTGTTTGTGTTCTTGTGCTTGCCTTTTGCCATCTAGATCACCTTTGTGCTATCTTTGCTGTCTCTGAATGGGGCCTGTCTTTCCTATTATCTAGGTTGTGTCAGAACTGTTTGGGATGGGTTTTGCTGCTGGGGTTAGAGCTGAGGCCCAAGATGTGCTCCGTGCTCAGCTGGAAACCGGAAGGGGCCTGGGATCCAGGTCAGGAGTGGATTCCTGGGTCCCTGTGGGTCCCGTTTGCTCCCTGATTGGGGGCAAGTATTTCCACCTCCTAGCCTAAGATACTGCTCGAGTTGGAGCTACTGAGAGCCCCCACTTCCTCTGGGTTCTGTGAGATTGAGTGCATACCTGCCTCCCGGGATCTGCGGAGTGCTTGGGCCCAGACCAGAAGGAACCTGTGCTCCGGGCCAGGAGTGAATTCCTGGGTCCCAGTGGGTCCTGGTTGCTCCCTGTTTGGGGGCAAGTATTGCCACCTCCTAGCCTAAGATATTGCTTGGCAGAGAGGTCCTGAGAGCCCCGCTTCCTCTGTATTCTGAGAGACCGGGTGCCTAGCTGCCTCCCGGGATCTGCAAGTGCTCGGGCCCAGACCAGATGGAGTCCCTGTTCCGGGCCAGGAGCGAATTCCTGGGTCCCAGTGGGTCCCAGTTGCTCCCTGTTTGGGGCAAGTGCTGCTTTTTCCTTGCCTGGGATGCTGCTGGAGTGAAAGCTTCTGGGAGTCCCTCTTTCTCTCGGTTTTCTGGTGTTGGGTACAGAGCTGCCGCCTGTGACCTGCTCTATGCTCGGGCCCAGACCGGAAGTTCCGTTTGTGTCCTTCTTAAAGTCCTCTATCATCATCATGAGAAGTGATTTTAAATTTGGATCCTACTTTTCCGGTGTGATTGGGTGTCCAGGACTGGCTATGTTGAGAGAACTGGGTTCTGATGATGCCAGGTAACTTTGGTTTCTGTTGCTTGTCTTCTTGTGCTTTCCTTTCACCATCTGGTTATCTCTAGTGCTACCTGCACTCACTGTATCTGACTGGAACCTGTCTTTCCAGTAATCTTGCTTGTGTCAGAACTCCTCAGAGTCCAGCTGTCTCTCTGAACCTGTGATCCTGATTTCCTGGGTGGAAGAGCTCCTGGGACTCAGGTTGCCTCTGGGATCCTGAAATCCTGCTTCTCTGCATGCAGTGGTTCCTCTATGATGGTTCAAGATAATAAGGTGTCTTCATGGGAGCAGACAGCTACGTGTCTGCCCCAGCCAAAAGAACCAAGCTAGGGGTGGAAGGGGAGTTGTATTTTAAAAGGTGGGGTTTGGGTTTGTAATGGGTCCTGAGTGCCCAAGGCTCCCAGCTCTGGGGCATAGGGTTGTGGGGGAGAGTTCTTCCCTGCTACTCTGAGTGCAGTGGTTCTTCTAGGATGGTTCAGGATATGATGTCTTCATGAGAGCAGACCAGCTAGGTGTCTGCCTCAGACAAAAGAACCAAGCTGGGGCAGAAGAGGAGTGATTTCAACTCGTCACTCTTAACTTGTGATTTCATAAGGCCAATGTATGGACACAGTTCAGTTAAATTCCTTGCCACTTTTGAACAAGTAGATCCTTGCCTCTAGCTTTCTGTCTTAGTTAGGATTTTGCAGCTGTGAAAAGAAACCATGACAAAGGAAAATATTTTAAAGGACAACATTTAATTGGGCTGGCTTACAAGCGCAGAGGTTCAATTCCACATCATAAGGTGGAAGCAAAGCATCATCTAGTCAGGCATGATGCAGGCAGAGCTGAGAGCTTACATCTTCAACTGAAGACTAATAGAATACTGACATCAAGGCAGCTAGGAGGAGAATTTTAAAGCCCATGCCCACAGTGACATACTAACTTCAACAAGGCCACACCTCCAAATAATGTTATTCCCTGAGCCAATAATATTTAAACCATGACACTTAGTAAAATCCTGTCTGAAGAGTAAGGGAAAAATTACACAGAAATAGGAATGGAAACAGTCAACACTGGTTTCTCAAAAATTGATAAGGAAAACAGAATCAACTGATGATGTCACTTGTTTTTTAAAAACGTCAACTAAGCAAACTCATGTATGTTATCAAATAGTATCCTTCACATTAATTCCCTCAAACCAATTGATTCTGTACAAGAGAATGTTTAAAACTCAGGCAAAGTGTCAGGCAGTGGTGGTACACACCTTTAGTCCCAGCACTCAGGAGGCAAAAGCAATCAGATCTCCAAGTTCAGTACTAGCCTGGTCTACAGAAGAGCCAGCACTACACACACACACACACACACACACACACACACACGCACAATGTCTTGAAAACAAATAAAATAAGGGAAAGTGGCAACTCATCATAGTATGCAAAAACGCAGATCATGAGGAAAGCACCCACAATGAAAGGCTCCTCACACATACAAATACACAAACACACACACACACACACACACACTCACACAAAGTTCTTTTAAAAAACCTTGAACGATTACAGGAGATAAAAAAAAAAAAAAACTATGAGTTGAAACATTAGTAACTGACTTTTCTGGCCACAAAACTGACAGTTCCTAAGGTCAGGGCACAGACAAAACTAACTATAATCTGTTCCTCACAGAGCCATGGCAACAGCAAAGTGCATCCCTGATTATCCTCACCTAAGAAGCAGAAGGAGGCATGATATCCAGGAGATGCTGACAGAAGTGGGACTGTCTGTTGACTATTGGCTGCCTAAGCTTCAGGAAGACCTAGGTGTGACCTCTGCCCAGGCTTTACAATATTTAGACAAAAGAGACCTGCAGAAGCTGAAGTCCCAGGTAAAACACACATGGGAGAAAAAGGCTCTGGAGAAGCTGTTTGACCTCTCACAGCCAACTAGTGTTGCAGAGCTGCAGGAGACTCCAGAGGAGATGATAAAGAACAGGCAGAGGCAGGCAGGACAGGCACTGCAGGATCTGAAAGCCTTCCAGTCAGAAGGGAAGCACAGAGAAGAAGAGGCAGTGAGGAGAAAAGAAGCAGAGCTGAGGCAAGCACTGGAAATCCCAGAGGAGTGCTGGCCAGTGCCTGAAGTGCCCCTAAAAGACATCACTGAAATAATGGAGAGACATCTCAGTCACATGGAACAGACCCTGGCTCACAGTCAAAACCTCTCAGATAGAGACCTGATAAGATGGGCATCTGGAGGGCTGGCCCTGCAGGGAATTTATAAGACCAGCCACCAAAGAAGCCTAATTCAGAAGAAAGAAGAGCTACTCAGTGTCTCTAAGCAGTTCTCACTTGTTGGCCCAGAACAAGGCACATGGATAGAAACAAAGGAATTTTCATCTTTTCAAGAACAAGCCATGTTTACACAGACTATAGAGATGCTGGGTTTCAGTTCAAACTCCTTGGTTAAAGGCAAAGGTTGGGGACTTAGTCTAGAAGCTGGTATGGATCAAAACAAACAGACAGAATCTGAGGATACCCATCAGTCATCTTCAGAGCAATCATATTACTGTTCAGCCAAGTTCAGGTACATCCCATTGGCCACCTGCCATTTTCACATCAATCATCTTCAGCTCTCCAAGGCTGCTCTCCAGGAACTAAAAAGTATTGAAGAACTCCTGGAGCAGACTACACACCCAGATGGATTCCTTTTACTGAGACACAGGACTGAAAACTTTTTCCACAGGTTTGGCTCTCATGCTAACCAAGGCCCACTTCACCTTGGGGGAATCTACTGTTGGAAAGCCATTTCAGAAGGTTTCAGCAGTGAGCAATTAGCTGATGTAAAGCAGCAAGCAGAAAAGTCTTTGAATATTTACATAAGGGGCAGCTATAGTGGCTTTGGAGTTAAAGTTGGTGCAAATGTAAATATGAAAGACTCACATTCAAAAACAGCAGCTGACAGTACAAATCATCAAAACTTACAAACCAAGGTGCAACTATCTGTAGCCCAGACAGGTGGACCAGCAGAAGCAGATGGAATCACCCAGTGGACAGCTGGTCTTGTAGCTAGCAATAAAACCTGGTCTGTCATTGATAGGAGACTCCAGTTGGTACCTATTTGGGACATCATCTTGTCTAGTCACAGAACTGATTTTAAGGACGCCCTTCAAGTGGCTAAATGCCTAAAAGACAACTACACTGCTCTGACTGGAGTCGCTGCCCAGATTCAAGAAGGAGAAGAATTTCTTACTGCTAGAAAAGAAGCTAAGCTTTTCCTAGAGGATGTGAAATGCTGGGAGGTTTCAGATCCCGAAGAACAGCTTAGTAAGTTAATAGATTTTATGCAAACATTGAGTCAAAAAATAAAAAGTTACAACATTTGGGTTAATACATGTCTCACAGATTGGGATCTGCAGAATTTTCTAATAAACACTGTCAACTTCTGCAAAAATTCACCCACTTACAAAACTCACTTTATTAAATCTCAGTTGTGCAGCCTTCTAGAACCTCATGTCTACAAAGTGACAAACTTTCCTCAGGCGCAATCCATCATACAGTGGATCAATCAGTCAGAGTCAGAGGAAGAGCAAGTCGAAATCACCTCATTTTCTGAATTCATTAAGACCTTAAAGAAAGCACACAAAAACCTGATGGAAGTGAATTTCAAAAGTGAGTCCCCAGAAACAGTAGAAGTAGTGAAAAGAACAGCTACATATGAGGTCACCACAGCTCTCAGCTCCTTCTTGAAGTACCTCAGAGAAACAGACCAGCCAGACATGCAGCTGCTGCTACTCTCCATTGCAGCTGGTGCAGGTTATCAATTGGTAAACAGTGTTTTTCAGCATCTTCTGGGGTGTGATGAGTTAAACTTCCTCTTGGATCAAATGCAAAGTAACCAACACAAATACCAAGAGCTTAAGAATATTTGCAATTACAGAGCCCAGGCATTCCTGGTACTCACATCTCTAAGAGCCACAGTTGAAATCACAGATATTTCTACAGAAGAGAAAAGTCAGCGTTTGACATTGATAAAACAACATATGGGGAAATTGTTGTCTGAAGAAGTTGTACATGTTCTCACAAAACATGGAGCACATCATGACTGGGAAACTCTGGAGAATGATTTAAGATTGCTCATTGATGGGGAGTATAAAGCCACCACCCCTTCTTTACAAATGGATGAGGTAAAAAAACAATTGCAAAGTCTCTACCATGAAAAGAAACAGACTTATAAACAACAAAGTAATGAAAACAACACAAAGGAAATGATAGAAAATGGACCTTTCCTAGACTTGCTCCAACGTCTAGGTCTAGACCATTACTATCCAAAAAGGATGAGCAGAGCTGACTTCCACCTGATCTATAAGACCTCTGTGTACAATTCACAGCCAAGATCTGAAAAGGAGCTTCCATTCTATTTTCTACAAAAGCTACTGATGTTGGATTATGGGTTGAGACATCTTGTCTTCAAAGATGATGAAAACATAAAAAAACAGATCTCCGTCGGCTGCTCCAATCAAGAAAATGAAGATTTTGATCCATATGAAGATGTCATTAAAGGCAATGACAGTCTTAGCTATCCTTCAGTCACTGAGTCCTGGTCCCACATTCATCCAATGGATATCCAGATGGCTATTTTACACTGTGCAGATTATCTTGCCAGGCAATATATTTTGTCGAAACTTTCTATTTGTCAATATGCCCTCCCCCTTGTGGTGCCAAATCCTAATTCTTCTCAAATCGAATTCTTTCTCTGGTCTCTCAGACAAATTAGGAGGAGTTGGCAAGAATCAAGTGCGTCACCACAGGACAAAAGCTACAGTCACAAGAATCAGCAGATGTGTAGTGTCTCTACCCCCCTTGTGTCCTTCATTAGAGTTGGAAATGGCCTCTCTGCTTCCAAATCTCAGATCATGAACTCTCTCCTCAGTAAACGTAAGCATGATGTGTTTTTTCACAGACACTGCAGAGGAAGCAGCAAACACTGTCTCTTGATGGAGGGAGTGGTAGAAATCTGCTGGTTCTGTCCTGGAGGCCTTGATGATGACTTATTTGACAAGTGTCTGACCTTCACCAATCTTCATGGAGATGCTAAGGAACATAGACAACAACTCAGCTTCCTGCAAGATGTCTCTTCTCTTATTGTGATCCTCATGTCAGCTTCTGATAACAATAAAGAAAATCAAAAGCTAGTCAGACACCTCTGTCAGTCATCAACACCTTTGATCTGCTTGATTGATGACAAAGAAAAGGCCGTAGCAAATAATTCTGGTAAAAGAATGAGAATTGGCATCAAGAATAGAAATGAAGCAGAATTAACAGAGGAGCTCACCAATGCCATCAAACTTTTGCTAGAGTTCTCTAATACTGCTCTCAGTTTGAATGACTGTTCAAAGACAGCTAGAAAACAAGGATTCCTTGTTGATGAAGACCAGAGAGACTGCAAGGAAGCCAAAGAAAAGGCACAGACTATAATGGCCCTCCTGGAGGAATACAAGTTATCTCAGACAAAAGAAAATTTACTACCCCTTCAAGGACAACTTTGGCACCTTTGGTGTAAGAAAGACAAAGAGTTCTATCATCTGAGAGAAAAGGGGAATCGGAGCATTGAACAACATAAGAGTGAAATTGAAACAGATAAAAGAAAAATTCGGCGTCAGCAATTGGAAAAAGCCTTTCCTCTTAATGATTTAATGCGCTCTGTTCTCGAACTCCTCCAAGACTATTCAGAAACCCATCACAAACTCTATTTTTTGCAATGGCTGACTCTGTTTTTTGACAACCTGACTATAGAACACCTGGGAAAGTTACATGAAAAGCAGGGTTTTTTGTGGTTAATGGTACAAAGAGAAAAGCAAAGAGCACAGAAAAGCAACTCCCTGACTCACTGGCAGAAGCAGATAGAAGCCATCTCCACAGAGATTCAGGACTGTACTTTAGGAATTGAGCACCTTCTCCGAGAAGCTGGCCAGATCTATGAAGCTCTGGAAGAAACTTCCTCCTCTAGAGATAGCTTTTTTCTCTGCCTCCCGCAAATTGCTGCAGACCTGATGATAGCTGGTGTTCCCATTGAGCTAATGGATGGAGATGCTTCATACGTGCCTCTAAAGTGGGTAGCAGCTATTTTTGACAAAATCTCAGAGAAAGTTGGAGACAAAAGGCTGTTTGTTCTCTCTGTCCTTGGCCTGCAGAGCTCAGGGAAATCTACCCTGCTGAATGCCCTGTTTGGGCTGCAGTTCACAGTCAGTGCAGGCAGGTGTACCAAGGGGGCCTACATGCAACTCCTAAAGGTGGAAGAGAAATTCACAGAAGAACTTGGCTTTAATTTTGTGCTTGTTGTAGACACAGAAGGACTTCGGGCTCCAGAACTCAACAATAAATCTCATAATTGGGACCATGAGTTGGCAACATTAGTCATTGGCCTTGGAAACCTGACTCTGATCAATATTTTTGGGGAGAATCCATCAGAGATTCAGGACATCTTACAAATAGCTGTTCAAGCATTTCTGAGAATGAAACAAGTAAAAATCTCCCCGAGTTGCTTCTTTGTCCATCAGAATGTGGGAGAAGTTACAGCAAAAGACCAGACTATGGAAGGACGAAGGAGACTGGAACAGAGACTGGATGAAATGACAGCATTGGCTGCTGAGTTGGAAGAGTGCTCAAACATAACCCGCTTCAGTGATGTCATTAAGTTTGATGCCAATAGTCATGTCTACTACTTTGCTCACCTATGGGATGGTAATCCTCCAATGGCCCCTCCCAATCCTCGCTATAGCTACAATGTCCAGGAACTAAGGAATGCAATTCTTTCGACTGCCCAACAGGAATCTAGGGGAAGGATCTTGAAAATCTCAGATGTTAAATTCCGAGTTCAAGATTTGTGGAAAGCTCTTATCACTGAAAACTTCATTTTCAGTTTCAGGAACACCCAAGAGGTCATAGCCATGAGCAAACTGGAAATCATGTATAACCACTGGACCTGGGAGCTGAGGAGTCATGTGTTGGACTTACACAATCAGCTGACCAATCAGATTCAAAATGGGATAATCCTGACACTCACATCCAATTTACTAGAGGAACCACTTAGCAAGAAATATACAACCATTAAACAAGAATTTGACAAGTATTTTGAAGAAGACCCAGATAGTGAAATACTGGTTCAATGGAAAGCAAATTTTGAACATAAACTACTAATACTTAAGGATGCGCTTATTTCAGACACCAGAAGGAAATGCAATGAACATATTAGTCTTAAAAAAAGCCAAGAAATACTAGATAACCAAAAGTCACAATATGAAAATGAATTGTTAGAGAAGAGCCAAAAGTTAGCTTTAAGTCTGAAGGGTAAGGAATTAAGTGACGATGAGTTGCATGAGACATTCAATAAACTTTGGACAAAATGGATCTACAGTGTATCTTCAAATGTTCCTTGTGTCACAGAGCCTAACATTGATTTGGATTCTGAAAATATCCTTCTTGAATATTTCAAGAAGGACAAAAATATTGCAGAAAGACTAAAAATAAAGTCTGGAGAACCATTTGAAATCATGTATGAGAAACATATCCAAATGAAAAAAAAATATCATATAATTACAAAGAGTTTAGAAGCCCATCATAAAGAATCCATCAATAAGACTACTAACAACATTCATTTAAAATTTAGTGAAACAATTAAAAATATTTGGAAACAAAAGCGTGATTACAGTCAGAATTACTTTCATGAAATTCTTAGGATCATAGAAAATGAGCTGAAATCTGAACTCTGTGAGGACTACACATTGACCAGAGACTACAACATTGACTTATCCTTGTACTTATTTCAAAGAGCATCCAAGAGTTTCAAGGAAATGCATGAGGCATTCAAGAGTGCGAATGACCCTGTGAACTATCTGGAGAGAAAGAAAGATGATTTCTTTATGAGTTTTAAGATCTCCTGCCAAGGTGCCACCTCTATCACATCCTTTGTTGACTTCCTATGGCTCAAGCTCACTCCTGCTATCTCTGCCACCATATGGGAAATGATGGGTCCTAAAGTTGCTGGAGACATGCGAGCCACCTGCCCTGAATTCAATGGAAACAGAGCTAACTTGGAGAAACATATTCTCTACTCTCTAGCAGAAGAAGAAAATTTTGATAAATACTGGCAATACCTTCATCATCCTGAATCATTTTTCAGGCAATACATTAGAGATCACATTACAAGATACTGTTCAGAAAAAGAAAGTAAAAAAATAAAGACTTTTTTAAAAATAATTTTAGGTGACATCAAGAATACCATCCTGTCTGCCATTCATGAGTCCACAGCAGTAGCTAAAAATAAAGGCAGCACTGCATCTGGCTGGCTGGATTTGTTCTGTGACCATCTAGGGAGCAATCTGATCTTCCCAAGAAGAGACCTGGTAAGCATCGAGCACCAGGAGATAACAGATATTGAGTTTCTCAAAGAAGCCATGAGCACAGCTTTAGATCCTGCAATGAGGAAAGTAGAAGAGGACTGCTCAAGTAAGCCCATGAATGAAATGATCTCTGACATTGAGAAAATTCTCTCTGAACATCTGTGTGGCTGCTGGAAACAGTGTCCTTTTTGTAATGCAATTTGTACAAACACCATTCCTCAGCATGATGGAGACCACAGTGTGCCATTCCACCGTCCTCAGGCTGTCCGTGGTTGGCACTGGCATAACACAGACCAATTTGTAATTGATTGCTGTACCAGTTCAGTAGCAAGTGATTATTCATTTCGTTTAGATGGTGGCTCCAAGTGGTACCCATACAAGAAATATCGAGATGTAGGAGGTGATTTTGCCACATGGAGCATCACCCCAGACTCATCTACCCAGCCATATTGGAAATGGTTTGTCTGTCATTTCAGATCAAATCTAGAAGTGAAGTATGGCAAAAAATTTACAAACATAGGTAGTATTCCAGGTTTATGGACCAAAATCACAAAGCAAGATGTCCTAGATGACTTAAACAAATATTAATTGCCACAAACAGAACACTTGACAGGCCACAGTAATTTTGCTTTAACCAAGGGAGCTTAATGGAGAACACCATGCAGGAAGAGCTGCAGTGGGAAGATGTGCTTCCTTGAGATGACTCACTCTATTGGGCAATTTTCCTGCAGATCAATATGAAGACAAACTTTCATAAAATAAGATTGTTTCAATGAATTAATGATTTTATGGAATTCCTGATTTGATGGAAATAGTTTTTAGGGAGTTAGAATAAATGATAGAAAGTTTAAGGAAATGGCTTAAGTTGTTTTGCCAGATAGATATAGTAAGGTTAGAATTAAGAGCAAAACATGCTCCCTCCCTTGAAGAATAGTAAGGGCTGTATAGGTTAGAAAAGGAGTACAGTGAGCTTTCATGCATTGTGAGTATGTAATTGTGCTTGGAAGAGAAAAGTTGGCTTGGGACAAGATAGTGCTCAAAACATTCATTCAAGGTTGGGTATGAGTTCCTGGATTTTGTGATCTAAAGATGTAGTCACAGGTTTTGGTGTACGGAATAAAAGGACAAGGTAGTGAACAAAGAGTAAATAATTCTATTATGAGTATAGAATAGAGAATAGGTGATTAGCCAGTCTAGATGAACAAGACTTCAAAACTAAGATGTAAGATAGATTATTTGTTTCTTGGTAAATACACATTGGTCATCATCGAACCATATGGAAAACTTGCTACTGTAGACTTGGCTTGCTTAAAGTTTGTTAATCAACAACAAAAGAATTAAGGCTTTGCAGTTACTATGGAGAAAAGATAATTGAAATAAAGTTAGATGAGAAATGTTTAGTTAGGTATGAGTTTCAAAAGAGGAATACATAATCAATAAACCTGTTGTAATTTCCTCTTGTGTGATGGGTTTTTTTCTGTTTTTGAAGACCATGGGTTTTAGTGATTGTTTTTAGAAATTTGTAACTTGTGGCTATGAGGTAATTTTTTTCTTACTTAGAGAACTTTGTCTTAGTTGGTGTTAAAAGGCTAAGAGAAAAAAAAGTTGTTGGGGCTCACTTGTTGGAGCTTGTTTCATCCACCAAGTATATGAGCAGGAGCCTGCTTTACATCATCACCAACCCCACGTGCCCTCCTTGGATCATTGATGTAGCTTGTCTTCAACATCCTAATATCAATTAATGTTGCATTATAAAGGAAATAAGTAAAAATAAATTAGTTTCTATTACAGAACTTGAAGATTTTCTTCTAAAATGATTTTATTTCTCTATAATTTAATATTTCTGGCTTTATCTATATGTGCTAAATATGTTAATGTTATATTTCTTTGGCTTTTTTCTGCTTGTTTATTTTGATTTTGGTTGTTTTCTGGTTTTGTTCTTTTGGGAGGGTTTTGTTCTCATGTGTTTCTTTTTTTGTTTTTTCTTGTATGTTTGTGTGTTTGTTTGAATGAAATAAAATAATAATAATAATAAAGTTGTATTGGTAGGAAAATGGAGAGGACCTGAAAGGAATTGGGACAGAGGGAAAACGTGATCAAAATATAACATATGAAACCCTCAGAGCTCTCAGACACTGAGCCACCAACCACACATGTGCTGGTCTGTGGCACTCTGGCACACATGTAGCAGAGGACTGCCTTGTCTGGCCTCAGTGGGAGAGGATGAGCCTAATCCTGCAGAGATTCAACACACGAGGGTGGGGAGATGCTGGTGGGGAGATGAGGTGGGGGTGAGTGGGTGAGTGGGGGACCACCCCCTCCTGGGCAAAGGTGAGGGGGAATGGCCTGAAGTTCTCAAGGGCAAAGACCAAAAAGGGGGACAACATTTGGAATATAAATAAATAAAATAACTTAATAATAATTTTAACAAACGAAAGAGGAAGAAAAGAAAAACGTTTTCAACAACAACAACAAAATGAACATAAAAGTTAAAGCCTGGTGTCATATATAGGTCTGAGAAGGAATTATTCCTCAAATTATAGGATGCTAATCGGGTAAAAAGTAGGTGGGGGAGCAGCTATGATGTTTGTGATGGTTTGCATACGCTTGGCCCAGGGCGTGGTACTATTAGACAGTATGGAACCTTTGAAGAAGGAGTGGCCTTGCTAGAGTAGGTGTGTCATTGTGGGTGTGGGCTTTAAGAGACCCTCATGCTAGCTTCCTGGAAACAAGTATTCTGCTAGCAGCCTTCAGATGAAGATGTAAAACTCTTAGCTCCCCCTACACCATGCCTGCCTGGATGCTTTCAAGTTCCTGCCTTGATGATACTAGACTAAACCTCTGAACCTGTAAGCCAGCCCCAATTAAATGTTGTTTTCATAAGTATTCACTTGGTCATAGTGTCTGTTTATAGCAGTAAAACCCTAACTAAGACATTGTTTAATAATGACTGTGAATTTGATATGATCTACAATCACCTAGGAGGCAAGCATCCAGATACACCAGTGAAAGAGATTTTTAAATTGGTTAGTCTATGTCCATGAGAGATGACAATGATTAGATTAATGGAGATAGAATGACTGTCTCTAGCTCGGAAGCACCATTCCCTGGGCTGAAGTCCTAAACTGCATAAAATGAGACAGTTCCCTGAGCACAGAGCATTCACTGCTCTCCCTTTGTTGGAGATACAGTGCTCAAGTTCCTGCCTCTACACCTTCTACCCACCCTGGACTCAAAGCAGGAACTGAAACTATTCTTCCTTCACTTGACTTTGTCCAGTATTTTGTCCCAGCAATAAGTAATGTTGCCTAATTAGAGTAGGTACTTTGCTGCTCTCAGGATAAAATAACCAAAAGCTACTCATAGAAGAAAAAGATGTTTTTGGCCAAGGTTCCAGAAGTCTAAGAGCTCATCACAGTGGGGAAGCACAGCAACAAGAAGCAGGAGCAAGAAGCTGAGAGGTCACATCTCAACTGCACAAAGGAAATAGAGAGGGCAAACTGTAAGCCCAAGGGGCTATAAACTCCTAATCCTGATTCCAGTGTTATACTTCCCACAGAAAAACTACATAGGTCTGAGAAGAAATGAGGTCTGTCCTAAAAATTTATACCCCCACGAACAATTTAGCCTGTTGGGGACAAACCACTGAAATATATAAGCCTATGGACCACTTCTCATCAAAATCACAATATTCCACTCCTGACCCCCATAGGCTCATGGCCATATCAAAATGCAAAATGCACTTAGTCCAACATTTACAAATTCTCCATACTATTTAATGGTCTCAACACTGATCAAAACTCCAAGGTCCAAAGTCAATTCTGAGACTTGAGTTAAACTCCTAACAGTGACACCATGAACAATCATAAAATATAAATAAAAGTCTTTAAAAAGAATTACATATTTTCAATAATAGCAGAATATATGTTCCCATTTCAAAATGGAGAAGGTGAGGGTATACTGAGGCAAGAGTAAAGCAAAGCAAGCAGAAAACCAGCAGGGAAAATATCAAGTATTGTACCACTATGGTGGGCCTGAGAGACCTTGTTTACCACAATAGACCAAACAATAGGACTCTAGAGGTATTGCCTGTTTTGGCATTGCCAGCCTTGGTGCCTCCTTGGCTGCCCTGTAGCCTGGTACACAAGCTGAGAAGAATAGACTGCCTGCCGAGCTTGCTTGAGACATCTCTGGCCCGCAATTAAGTATGGATTCCTCTCACCTCCAGCAGGATGGATTCAGCTCACCCCCAGCCGGCTGAAGCAAGAAGGAACTCTGGGGGTGGGGGTGGGTTATCCCCTTTACATTAGAAGCTGAACATTAAAGCATGGAGCCTCGATCAGAAACCTTTGTCCTGGCTTCATCTCTTCCCGCCCTCCTGTCCCTCTTCCATTCCCAGCCTCTCTTTCAGGTGAACCAGGTCGACTGTGGCTGATGTCCCTCAACAGAATGGCACCAAACGTGGGGCCTGAACATGAGAGACCAGCTGAGGAACGCTGTCTTGTGTAGAGCTCTATGGAAAATGGAACAAGAAAGGAGAGTATCCCGCACACTTGGTAAGCAGCAAACAATTTTTGATACTAACGCTAGTTATGGTAAGTCTTTGAAGGCTGTGTTTGCAGGAAGTGTGTTTCGGGGGATGCAGTCTAGGTTAATGAGGTATTGACCCAATGCCAATTTGGCCTAGGAGGTGACAGCGAATTATAGGTCAGGAGAATTCTAAACAGGCATTGCCCGTAGTCTAAGAGCTGCTTCAGGCAGGAAGAGCAGGTTTAGAAGGAACTGGAAAACTAAGAAAGCAGGGCACTGAGGTGTTACAATAGCTGTCTGCTACATCTCCAAAGAATGAGATGAAAAGTTACATCTTGAATATGAGAGAGAGAGAAAAAGAAAGGGTTTTAGAAAAACAGTTGTCCTCTCTCTGAGCTTTGTCAGCAAAAAGGAATGAAAAGGCTACTTCAGAGATCTCCTAGAAAAAGAAAGAAATTCGGGAGACGTCCTGAATTTCTCTTTATTTAGCTCCTAGGTGTCCTTCTTTGTTGTCTGTCCTTGGCGTGCACCAATGTCCACATGTGTCAATTGTTTGGTTTTTTGTTTCATTGTCTAAATGTTTGTTCTATGTTTCATGTTCAAAAGAAAAGATCATTAAAACTGCTTGATCCAACCCTTTGTCTAGTTTAACTTTGTTTTAAAGACAGTCTTAATGTGCACAGATAGGATGCCTGTAGCTAAGAGTTGAGCTGAGCTGGAAAAGCCTTTTCAGAAATTGATTTTTTGCATAAGCTGATCTTAAAGGGACCAGCAACATTTTGGATTCTATAAGGAAGCTGAGAGTTGTTTGTCTCAGAAAAATCTCTGTGACAAGGTGCCTTTCTCTTGAAAATGCAGCTAGAAAAAGCAAGGAGATTTTGTTTGGTCTAAATATATAAGATGCATAGCCACTTCATTGTAGCTTCTGATTGGTTTTAAAAGTATAAATATGTTCTACATGTCTTGATTACAGATTATTGGCTTAAATTATTGAGTATGATTAGAAATTTACAACTTTGGTAACAGAAAGTTGCCGTAAAACTAACTCAGGGTTAGAGTCATTCAGAAACCAGATGTATAAAAAACAAGATTTTAAAACAATGTCTCTTCAATGAGATGTTAAAAGCTGCACTATCATACATTCATATATAAGAATTGACAGCAAAACTTTGTAACGTAAAGGTAACCTACTTGATGTTGATTTTAGAGAAAATAGATTGTTTACATTGTTTTTGCTTTTGGTTTTGTCTCTCAAAATTATTGTTATACTTTAAAGTTACAAAAGAAACTTAAAAATATAGTTTCTGCCAGTATTCCATTGGCTACAGTTGGCAGTTCTAATCTTGAGTTTGGGATTTTTTGATTCGCCCATGTTTATAGAAAAGGAGACAGCAGGAGAGTTAAATAAAAATATTTAAAACAAGTTGTGATACAGTGCTGGCCTGCAGGAAAGATAATCTTTGTGCCAGGCCTCTGAAAACAGGCTGAGATTAAGAACATTTACATTTAAATTAAGACAATACAGATTGGGCTCTGCAGAAGCTTGGGTGAGACATTCCTTTTGTCTTGATCTTCATGACCAGCCCCTAGAAAGGTGTTTTCCAGAATTTGTTGATTGCCTTGCTTGTTCCTTGTGGGGGAGGCGTCAGCCTCAGGCCCAAAATTCACAACAGCTTATAGGTCAGGAGTTGTTATTATGTTGGAGGAATTAAAATTATGCTTTCTTCCCTCCATGGCATTGTAATTACCTGCTGGCAAAGGAATTCCACAACATGTTTTGGGTCCTTCCTTCTAAATTTGTTGGGAGTGATAGAAGACAAGATGGCTTTGGTTCCTCTGATGTGTATTAGGTCCTATCAGTAGCAAGAGACCTAATCTTAAGTTAATAATTGAAGGAAAAAGGTTTTGAAGGATTAATAGATACTGGGGCTATTTAACAATTATTAGAAGGCAAGATTGCCTTCAGCTTGGCTTTTATCTGATACTCTCACTCAGCTAAAAGGAATTGGTTATTCAATTAATCCAAAAACAAAGTTCAAATTTAAGATTTATGAAACTAATGGGGCATTACAGCCTGTCTTGCCTACTTCGGTTGCCATTCTAATAAATACATATAAAATTATTATAGATTTAAAAGATTGTTTTTATTGTTCCTTTACATCCTGGTAAAGGTGATGAAGTTTAAATACAATGAATTTACTTGTGATTTTTGAGAGCCCATGAAGCAGTATCATTAAAAAGGTTGCCTCAAAGAATGATT